TAATATGTTAGGTTTTGTGATTTTGTTCTGTGGTTGTGCTTTATGCTTTTCAATTTTGCTTCTTTATGGAAAGTTTAGAGGGGTAGTCTAATGGTGGCTTTTTATGCAGTGGGTTATCATCTACTTATCTTGATTAATATTCGAGATAGCTGTTCTTTTTCTGGTTTTTTATTTCTTTGGAATTTGATTGTTCTAACCGAACAATGTTGTATAAATAACATTATTTGTGTATTTGGGTATTACTGTGCGCATGGTTTTAGGCATCCTTTTATTTTGCTTAGGTGGCTAACCAATATCATTCTACTATTTTCTGAGCTGTTTAGCCTTGAAAATGAGAAGAAAAAAAAAAAAAGGAAAAAAAAATTGTGTTTACCTTTGCTTGTATGTTGAGTATATGGCTGCTGGTTTAATATAAACAGTTTCTGTGATCAAACATCACGCATGTGTTTCTTTTACATGCATGAAATTCTAAATTTCTAATGGGTAAGTTTTTGCTATAATTTAGTGCCGGCTACATGAATTGGCAAATAAGCGTAGAATTTCAGTCACAGGAGCATCCAAGCTGTTGGCAAACATTCTTTACTCTTACCGTGGGATGGGACTGTCGGTCGGCACAATGATTGCTGGATGGGATGAAACGGTATGGACATCATGATATTCTCTCCCTCCCTTTCACTTCCTTGCTTTTGCCATCTCACTTTATATATTTATTTAGTCTAACCTTTTCTCGTAAGCGGATCTTATCTGGTTTCTAGGGTCCTGGGTTATACTATGTTGACAGTGAAGGGGGAAGGTTGAAGGGAACACGTTTTTCTGTTGGATCTGGTTCACCTTATGCTTACGGTGTACTAGATAGCGGGTATGGTTCTTTTACAGTTGTTTATGTAGTTATTCTCCATTTGTATTGGAATTTGGAAACTTAGTCCAGGTGTTCAATGCAACTTTTTCTTGGGAAATGCAAACATTTAATCAAACTTTTGCACTAAAGCATGAATGGTGAAGCAGGCAGTTCATTCCATTAACAATTAGATATCAGAATTTGACTTGGTGATTAAACATTGAAAAACCGATAGCTGAAAAGTTTCTTATATTGGGACAAGGCTTCACAGATGTTCTTATTCATAGCCGTTTTCCACAATTTTGTAAATGCCAGGTATAAGTATGATATGTCTGTAGAAGAAGCTGCAGAGTTGGCCAGAAGAGCTATTTATCATGCAACATTCCGAGATGGAGCCAGTGGTGGAGTTGCTAGCGGTATTCTCTCTCGACGTGTTTTTGTATGTTCTACAAACTTGATTCCCTTGTTCAAGAGCTTAATTTGGTTTGAACTTTTTATTTTAATCAGTTTATCACGTGGGACCAAATGGATGGAAGAAGCTGTCTGGCGATGACGTGGGAGATCTCCACTACAAGTACTACCCTGCAATGCCAAGTACAGAGCAAGAGATGGAGGAAGCATAAATTTCTAGATGTGTTTGTACTCTGGATTGATAATCAAATTTACTTATAGAACCTGCACTGCTTCTATGATTTTCTAGTTTTGTAACCGTTTGTCATTGACAATGCTCTGAAATTTTAATGAAGCCGTACTTAAGCTGCAGTCTTTGGGTCACAAAGGGAACAATGGTTATTCCTTAATCAATCATCAAGACAATGATAAGTAGAAATGTAATTTAAAATTTCTGTCCCATTTCCTATGGGATATGTGTTTTGGTAATAAAGAATAAACTAAACTTGAATTTTTTTTTTTTCTATTTCGCTTGAATTATGTGCATAGAACTAAAATTTAAGATTTTTTTTACTTTTAAAAAAAATATTATTTCTAAATTATTTATATGGGTGGCAAAAAGTTTTGAGTATTTAATTAACTAATTGTCTATGTATTAAAAATAAATAAGAAAAAAAGAGTTGATATTATGGTATTTATATTAGAATTTGTAAAGAGAATAATGTTTTTAAGTTTGGATTCTTTTCCAAAAAATGCAATTCTAGTATGAAAGTAATATATATTTATATCATGTTTGAATTGAGAGAGTTAGAGTGGAAGGGAAGGAAAGTGAAGCGGCGTCTTCTTCTTGTTTTTTTTTTGTGGATAAGCT